TTAACTTACACCGCAGCAAGCGATGCCCGCCCGCCGTCGACCAACCAATCGGAGGAGGGTGTTCGAGTGAGGGCGTCCTTACGCTTTAGACAACCTACCGGTTAGATTGTTCCTGAATGGCACGTCAGTAGCCAAGGGGTTGCAATTTTTTTGTGTTCATCTGGCACTGTGGTATGCAAACAGGTGTTTTATTCGTGCCCTTTTGGCAAAATGGTGCTGAAAGGGTCAGTTGTTTTGTCTGTCTGAATGAATGTCCAAACCAGTTCTTTTGTATTTCCTGCCTATGTAAAGCACATACCGAAAATGAAATAAAAGAAAGATGACTTCCAATCGAGACAACAGGCATCATTTTTTAATAATATGACGTCAGTGACAAGTTGCGTCATGAGCTATATTCAGCTGTGGTCGACAGCTGACCTAAGATTTTATCAAGAGTCGTCAGGAATCGTCAGGCGAGGGAAACAGACTCAGAGCCGTATATAGAGAACAGCGCCCTCTAAGGCAGAGGACAGCTACCGGGGGTGTATGCTGAATTTCTGATGTTAAAATTCAAGTCTCTGTGATATGTCAGAATATAAGAAAATACAAACAACTTTGGTTCTGGAATTCTAGTGTTCATGGAAGTTCAGCCTATAAGATTTAAACCGTTTTTTGTCCGATGACATTTAATGTTTCCGTGAAGAAACATTGCCTGTAGGCCTCATGCCAAAAAGAACAAGAACATGATTTAAAAAGGGATAAGGGTAGTACCGTCAGGAAAACGGCTGGCAAGCCACCCAGCCAGGCAGCCCGCTACGGAATCAAGTGAAAAACAAGAGAATTTTTGCCTATAGGCTAGACCAATAGGGTAGCACCAAAGCACGTTTGTCTGCACGTGTTTCATGCAGAAATATACTGAAAACTTTACTCGTAATTTGTTTGAGAACTTAAGGAACTCTGCGTGTATGACGCCTAGTTTCTTGAAAAGTGTATTTTCATTTGACAGTGCAATAATCTTTCCAGGCCATTAACGCCTCGCCGTGCATGGGGACAATGTTGACGTCAATATATTGGACAAATGAGCATGAGAGCGGTAGAGAGCCTGAAAGTAAAGGTCACGCAGCAAGCTTCCGGAACCCTCGCGTGGTCCGCCTATAGGGATTTTACATCGGACCGTCCTATCACATTTGATAATTTTTGGAAATAAAGCCACACCGTAAAACACCCATGTTGGAGTTTTACCTTTGTTTTCCAAAAGTACTATATAGGGAAAAGTCACCTGAAAAAATGGGTAAAAACAAATTTCATTAACGACCTTTCACTTCCGGTGGTATCGTACCTAGGTCTCCTTGTTCATGCACGTTTGTTTTCACTCCCCGTGCGAACGTGAAAACGAGATTGTACAAAGTTGCAAAGATTTACCTACCTGCTGTCGATGGGTTCCAGATTCTGTAGAGTTGACATGATGCAGATCTTGTCAGCAAAAGTTACAGTTATCTTTCGTGAAAGTAGATTACTACTTTAAATTTATTACCTCATAAATTAAGAAAAGCTGCAAAATATTTTGATCTGTTTTTATTTCGGCTTTTACCGACGCAATACCATAAAATTTCTAACCTTAAATGTTCATCTGCGTACGAGACTGCCGCATTGCACTGTTCTTCCGTTCATGTATTTTAGATTTTTGGAGGGGAAGGTCAATTTTTGGCAGGATATTTCTCTTTTAAGTCAGGTAAATATTGTCAAAGTTGTTTATTTCTATAGATTGATATACTTGCAATTATTCTCCAAAGTCCTTTTTCCGAGTTGGATTTTTTAAAAAGTAACTGAACGAAAAACTATTATGAATTCTAAAATCATTGCACGTTATCTTTATCTTTCCTATCCAAGGGTTCCGGAAGCGCGCCACCAAGGGTCAACTTTCAGGCTGTATAACGGCACTGCCCCAGTGGCTGCAGACGGACTCTAGTGACTTATACTCAGCATCCAGAAGCCAGACCAAAAAAAGTTGATTTCTAAGGTATTTTAGTTAAGTGTTCAATGGGGGGGGGTAGATTATGTGACTTGTGGAGAAACAATTCTATCCATTGATGATCTTAAAGCCCGTTAAACAGCAATTTTAGGGCCAAATCGAAACTTTGCCCACATAATTATTTATTGTGCACCACTGTACATCCACAGGTCTGATCCTTGTTGAAAATAAATAATCTTCATGGGCCTAAAAATTCTTTAATTCTGAGTTCGCTGGCGTTGATATTTTGGGCCTTTTTATTTGTCTTGAGTCTTGCGCACAAGCAATTTCAGCTCTGAATAATTTCGATGCTGAAATGGTTTCTACGCGTCGTAACAATCGGAGTCTTTGAGATATAATTTTATTGCCCAAAGGTGGGTTGTTGAGTATTTAATTTGCGTCAAAAATTTTAACATTAAAGTTTATCCACGAACCTGTAAGTGTTAGATGGACCATGATTAAAACGTTTTTTTTTCTCCAGTTGAATATAGAATAATCTGGAATAAATGCTCCGTTTGATAGATAAGATCCGTTTCTTTACTATGTGTAGCAGTGTATATTACTTACACTTCGGAATCCATCAATTACATATTTTATTAACTTGGCTATTTCGGAGAGTGGGGTTACATTTTCCCTAGACGCCATCATCCATGACTTTAAATGCGTTTGGTAAGGGGCTTGTTAAAACCGTAGGTACTACTTTTCCTCAAAGCGGTATCGAATGAAGGGCTTGGATGTTCTTTGTCGAATTCGATGTTTACAACTAAACAGACGAGTGGGCTGTCATTATCACCGCGAGGAGCTTGCGAGCAAATCACGGTGAATCACCCACAGACAAGACCGCAATAAACTCCCCGCTGTGTTCAGTAATACTCATTTCTGGGGACATCCAAACCTCATACGTGGAAGGCAATGCAAACAAAAATTGATTTCTGGATGAACCATATAGCACTCCGTAAAATGAAGATCTAAACAACTAGGTGGTAATTTTGACCGCAAAACGAACGAGTCCAACGGAGCTATTGCGCAAACATGGAGGATAGACTTCGTAAGGAAATTGTTGGAATACACAAATTTGTTCTCCGTAGATTAATGACTCTGTGTGTTGACAATGATTAAGGCTGAGAAACTGGTTTTCCACATCTCTGTGGTGGACTTTGACAAACCTAAACGTAGGCAAGACAAAATCCGGCATAGGCCTATGATTGAACATGGTAACTATTGACAAGATGGGGGCGGATCTTTCCATCCCTGTACATAAGACTGGTGATCGAGAATACATGAGGTGCGTTTTGGCGGCCATACGGCCATAAGCACGAACTGGTTCGGTGGTGATTTGTCAGACACTTTCTGTGGAAATTTGAATTGGGTGAGAATTACATTGTAATCATCAAATCCTTAAAAAGCAACGAACAGAACAAAAAAAGCCGAACCAGACCTTGGTTATGACCCTCAAAACGTACACCTGCAGGATTGGTTGGTCAGTATAACACTCCCAATACACGCAGTCTACGTTACCCACTATTTACTGTAGACATTCCACTGATGTATTCCTTGACTGTTTCTCTTCCGTGTGCTGCGAATGTAACCCTAACCCAATGGATTATGTGGGCCTCTTTTCTCCATGAGTCCGCACTATAGGCATGCAAGGGTGGTACACACACGCAAGAAGACACACACAAATACCTTAAACGATTTCTGCAACCACTCAAGCTTGTCGCCTCGAGAAAATTAGATACTCGTCTCAAATTTTTATTCATTTCAAATGTTTTCATTTAAACCATTTTTAGGGCCAACATTAATTTGGCCCCAGTGGCCAAAAATGTAAGTATTGATACTTTCAGTAATTAAATACTGAACCTTTTTGCCACATATTATTTTGCAATAGCATACCAGAAAGTAATCTGCATTCCTCCATTAATTAAAATGGATCTTTTAAAATTGATTCTATTTCAAGAACTAATTGGTATCCTTTTACATGTATACGATGCAAGATATGGGGCGGAGAGAACCCCCCCCCGCCTTTGTGTTGGTCATTGTTTGATGGGAATCTCAGGAATTCTTTACAGACGGGGGGGGGGTATGTTAGGTAACAATAGTCTAGAGTGTGTATAGGGATTTGACATGTAGGGCGGGACCCATTGGCCCCATATCGTGCACGGTATCTCTGCCTGAGCTGTTTATAGGAAGTTGTGTTTTTTTCTGTTTCTGCTGTGTCTGAGTGAGGTAATGTGCTGCAAATTAGTTGCCGGTTTGTAGACATTAAAATACTTACGGATACACTCACTGTGATAACTGTTTTAAAATTATTTCCAATTAAATCATTATTTTATTCTGTTAATTTTGGTTCTAGTCTAGACCCCTCTTTTCGACGTAGGTAAACATGCACTAGTTGGAAAGAGTCACGGCACGTGAAACTCACATTAAGGCTTGACAATATTTCACATTCTTGCAGTTTTATTAAGTTTGTGTAAGTTAATATGTTAAATGTTGACGGTTGTGCATTTTTCATCATTGATTAGGTCCTGTCAAATCCTCTATGTAAAGATAAACATCTATTACTATACATGAAGAATATGAAGATAGGGGTGCAACCTTATATCCACCGATACCCTTTGAAGGCGGAAAACGCAAACCACTTTCGAATTTTTTAAGAATTTATATTATAAACTAAACATTGCAGGGACCAAATTTGAATCCCAACAGATTCCTTTAGAATTGTGTTACCTATTTTACGACAAAATATAGCATGCAAACTTTAGACTTAAATGATTAGGCAGTAGCTACTCCAACTCCACTGTCTCTGGGATATATACGTCGTCAACTTAACATTGTCCAGGGCTCCGTGTCAGTTTTTACACGAACTACCATTCCCAATATCAAACCTCTAAAATGTCAAGCGGCAACTAACGGAGAAAAATAAGACGGGGGGGGGTAAAAGGGGAGGAGAAGCAAAGGACTAGGCAACTGAGGAGTGGAACACGCGTAGGAAGAAAGACAATAAGGAAACGAGCGAAGACAGTCGAGTTAATTAGACGCTGTTTATTGAAAACGCGAACGGTTTCCGCTGGGCTGCAAGCGCCGTCGTTGTACAGAGATGACATCTCGAGAGAGATTTATTCACGGTCCAAATGAGCTGGTGTGGTCAAAAACAAATTTTTATGGGTAGCTATAGGGGCGTAAAAACTTGCTTGGTCTCCCTCTTTACCAGTCACATTTACCCGAGTTTTACCTTTTCTGCAGTGATGGAATAGGGAACGATGTTTTTTAGGTTTTATTATTTATTGTAAAAAAAAGAAAGAAACGCAATTCACAACTGCATGCGCTGGATAAAATGTTTAGCGCTACTGGGCTCACTAATGATTCTGTTACATGCAATTAGTTCGATTTTCCTTTAAACTTTTTAGGGGAACACATTTCTCCAGCAGAATATACTTGTGTTGAGTCCCACGATTACTCTCAGCACGTACCAACACGTGCTGTCCCATTCGTTTGAAGCATTTTCGGTCGAGTCGTATACGGAGAGATCGTAAGACCATTTCTGAAAGTCGTCCGTCCCTTCACTTGAGCCATGAGAATACCTCTTTCCTCCGAAGTAAACCTCTGCTGCCAAAAATCAACTTGTCAGGTCACGGTGAGATGCAGCCACAGCGGGAAGCAGAGTATGGCCTATGCCGAGACATGACTGCCTCACGGACCAGTAAACCCGGCAGAGAGATCAACGATCTAGCTGTTAATCTACAACGGACGGGTTGTTGAGGTCCGCCCCTACCGGGCGGAGCGTTCATTACAGCTCCACGGCCGTGCGAACACAAAAACACACACAAACAGCACTCGACGGTATCTGGTAGCTGCACTGTGCCCTAAATGATGCGTGTAATCTCAAAGTATGCACTTTTTGCCACCCTACTTTGTGGAGAAAAAACAGTGCATTTTCTTTTTTCAAAACGTCACTCTCTCAGAATTTTTAGGGATGCTTATTTCACACCTTCCGACACGAATTATTGAACCGAAAGTACTTTTTGCACCTCCTCAGTGATTACAAACGAGATGTACACGTGGTGACTCTCTGCGATAGTAGTTAATATTTAAATCTTAGGTCGACAATGATACAAGCAAGGTCACAAAATATTTGTTATTTGATTTATTCACAACAGAGAGCGGTGGAACTTATTTCAGCTTCGTAATCAGAAAACAGCTTGTTTTGTTTTGTTTTGTTTTGTTTTGTTTTGTTTTGTTTTGTTTTGTTTTGTTTTGTTTTGTTTTGTTTTGTTTTGTTTTGTTTTGTTTTGTTTTGTTTTGTTTTGTTTTGTTTTGTTTTGTTTTGTTTTGTTTTGTTTTGTTTTGT